CATGTTCCCCATTTTGCGTATTTGCCCAAGCTGGTCTAGGAAATCATTAAAGTCAAATTGACTTTTGGCGATTTTCTTGGATAATTCCCTCGCTTTTTTCTCATCATAGACTTCCTGTGCCTTTTCTACGAGAGACACGATATCTCCCATTCCGAGAATCCGGTTCGCCATACGTTCAGGATAGAAAATATCTAACGAATCTTCTTTTTCCCCTTGAGAAATAAATTTTATCGGCTTATCAACCACATAGCGTATAGAAAGTGCGGCTCCACCTCGGGTATCGCCATCCATTTTGGTGAGGACGACTCCGTCGAAATTGATGGTATCATTAAAAGCCTTAGCAGTATTGACTGCGTCTTGGCCTGTCATGGAATCCACGACAAATAAAGTCTCTGAAGGTTTTAGCTCATCTTTTAATTGAGATATCTCCTTCATCATAACCTCATCCACTGCTAAACGTCCTGCAGTATCTACGATAATTATATTGCAGTTATTTGTTTTGGCATGTTGAATAGCCTTCTGAGCAATATCTAATGGATTTTTATTCTCCATTTCAACAAAGACCGGCACATTGATTTTTTCACCCAAAGCTTTCAATTGCTCCATGGCTGCAGGTCTATAGACGTCTGCCGCTACCATAAGCGGTCTCATTTTCTTCTTATTCTTGAGATGATAAGCTAGTTTGTGGGTAAATGTCGTCTTACCTGATCCTTGAAGTCCCGCTACCAATATGATAGGTAAGGAACCTGAGGTATTGATTTCTTGTTGACTTCCCCCCATAAGTTCGGTGAGGGCGTCATTCATAATTTTGACAAACATTTGGCTAGGGGATACTGCCGTGAGTATGCCTTTACCCATGGCCTCATCTTTGACCTTATCAGTAAAATCTTTAGCTACTTTATAACTGACGTCAGCGTCCACGAGTGCTCGACGCACTTCCTTGGCAGTGGCTGCCACATTGATGTCGGTGATTTTCCCCTGCCCTTTGAGGGTTTTGAGGGAGGCTTCTATACTTTCTTGTAACTTCTCAAACATGCTATATCTCTATCGCTATAAGCTACAAATGTAATAAAATTTGATTAGGATGATTTAAATTTTCACATCAGATATTACTAAAAAAACGACCCTAAGGCGATATTCGTTTTAGGCAGTATGACAAAGGTGTAGAAGGTCAACCCTAAGGAAAGAATACATATAAGAATGATGAAACAAAAAAATAGTTTTTCTTTCTGTGCGGTCATAGTTTGTATAGATAAATTTTCCAAAAATCAGTTTCACTACCTACGGTTTGTATCAGCTGAAGACCTAAGGCGGGAGCATTTTTTACTTCACAAGCTGAGAAAATGTACCGTCCTCCTAGTTTTCTAATTTGATCCGTATTGATTTCTAAGTTGTAAATTTTCTTGCTATCGCGTGCACTTTGGCAGTTCTGTACATTTTCCACTCCCAGTTCATCTGAATAGAGATAGCAGCGATTGCCCCAGGTGTCAAATTTCTCTCGTATCAATGGATTCTTTTCAAGTTCTTTAACCATAATTTTTCGAAACTCATTTTTATAGCCAAGATTATAAACTGAGAAAAGACCATCTAAAGTGGCGTAGTCATGGTATTGGGGTATCGTGGGGCTGAGTCCTAAGGAAATAATTCTATTTTCTTTCGTGTTGGGTATTATTTTTTTGATTTCTCTAAATTGATTTAAGGCCAGATATTCTCTATAACTAGGAAAAGTATCCTCGAAGCCCCAGAGTTTTTTATAATTATGCTGGGTCTCATCGTTAGCCAGAAATAGAATGAGAAATTGCGTGCCTAGAATAAGTGGGATCGTCTTACTGAGAAGCCTGAAGCGTGCTATCGTGTCGAGTGATATAAGCAAAATTAAAAACCACAAGAAAGGAAGTAAAAATCCGAATCGATTAAAACGAAAAGATTTAATAAAGACTATGTTTTGTGTGAAATACTCAATATAATTATAGAATGCTTGCCAAAGCACTATGAAAATGATAGCTATAAAGATTCTTTTCGACCAAGGATTCTTTTTAATACCATAGTAACTCATAATAAAGATACCGAAAATGAGTGTAGATACAAAAATAGAAACATGGTAGTGTGTACTAAAAAAGAAGGAGAAAAATTCCGTCAAACTCGCTTTGATATTGGGAACATCATTAAATTGATAGTAGTCTACTCTATGTGATCGAAAACCGTCACTTAGAAACAACATTCCATAGA